CAAGACCTACAAATGCATCAATTTTGCCATGAATACCAACAGCTTAAATGCAAAATGTAATAGTGATTTTCTTCCCTTAAGTCCAGGGTATTATAAACAACATTTACGCAGGGGTAAAGCACCAGAAATCCAGCCATAAGCTTTTGACCACAAGAAAATCTTAATACTTAATTTAGGATGAATATGGGAATAGTTGTACACCAAAGATTAACATTCATCTAGTTTGCTTTCTTTCATTTTGGTATTTTCATGCCATAATAATGGAGTTGTTGACTTATATTGGTAAATAATCAATTAATCTCCATAAATTAGTCACCAGACATGAGATGAAGAAAACAACAAATGGCCTAACACTTTGGAAACCAAAGATTCAAATTCACCTGTTCCCATCAACATTCTAATATTTTTCATTTACCATAGGTTATGTCTCAAAATATTCTTGTTGTATCAAAAATGTCATTTTCTCAAATAAATCTAATTTGCATTTAAATGAATCAAAGCTTTTTGCTTCCACCATTTACTGAGAGGACCTGGTCCACAGATGCAACAGTTCCTGGTGTCAGGTTTGCACAGAAAGTTCATTCACAACTCTGCTAGTTTGGCAGGTAGTTGTCAAAACATCTTCATCCTAATGCAGTCATTCATACCCCTGGAAGTGAATAATTCCAGGAAGGTCTCAAGACCTGCTTGAGGATAAGGACTATCCTGTTATTCAACATGTTTGAATATCTCAGATACAGTCACAAACATAGAAATACCATAATATCAATGAGTGCACCTTTGGGCCAATGAAGCAAAGGTACAATAACATGCCACCATTCAATATTTGCAACATCATTGTATACCACCGCACGTTGAGTATTATGTACTCCAAACAGCTGTAGTGGAAAAAGCAGATCGCCCCCCATACTCAGGATCTGACTGATGATGAAGTGTTAGGTGAAGCTTAAGGAGAAGTAGAAATGCAAACAGAATGCATTGCAGAGGTCAGGGAGCAGTTTTGTAAAATTTTTAATCCCCCTTCAATGAATTAACAGGCCTTATTATACCCCCATCACTAATACCTTAATTAATTATTAAAGCCATTGAAACCATTGAACAAATGTTTAAACCGTAACATTCTGACCATGGTAGGCTCTGGAATTGCTGTGAAAAGATACTGAAAACCATTGTGACACAATTATTCACTGATGACTAACTTAGTATTAAACACAAAAAGTGCTTTGAATTCATTACTCACTCAAGTGCCAACGCATAGCATTTTTCTAAAACTATTAATCATTTGAGTGCCATCTCATAAATTCAGTAAAGCTTATGGACAGCTGCTGCTCACTTTGGGGCCCTTGAGCTGTTCGTGGTTGCTGACTTCTGGATACTCAAGCCTGTGATCACCTGGCTGCTGTGTAAATTACAGTAGTTCAGCTGTTGCTGGGTAATCTGTCTTATCTGGTACGTTGGCATCATGGCAGACTGTGATAGTTTGGGAGAAGATATGCTGATAACATGAGCAAGAATGACTTGCCACTCCTGCAACACCTCTGCCATGCCCATGAAGCTTTACATTCAGTTATCACTCTCTTCAGAGTCTGGTTGCCATTAATTGAATTTCAAACTTGCAAAGGCTGGTAATATTGACTGCTGATGTGGTAATTCGGTTCAAACAATTCGTCCAGAGTCGACAATATAGACGGCAAAGTGGTGACGCTGTTTAATAACACTACAGAGGTTGAAAGTGGACTGCTTTTTAATTTTAGTTATCGTACGAAAATCACTTGAAAGTCACTCAATTTCCTTTGCATAATGACTTGTGTAACACAATCAATATTCTTTTTATAATTAGGTTCTGACTTCTGTATCTGTTCTGATTAAGAGATCCAAGCTCTCCCATCTCTCAAACCGTACTTTCTCCACCACTTGCAAGTCTCTATCATGCATTTTCCAAACTATGTGGGATTTCAATCTCTGTGCAGGTTCTTGGGAGGAATGGAGGACATGATGCCTCCTCAAACAAGAAACCTTCTTCTGAAGACTCTTGCCATTAGAAGAAAATGGCAAAATTTAGACCACCTCTGACAAGTGTATACCATGCAGGTAGATAAATGTGGATCTTCTGAGGCATACAAAGAGCTACAATTAATAATCACAGTCTATTCAGCTATGTTCCCAGTGTTTTAAATCTCCATTGCAAACCTGAATCTGATTTCTCTATTGAGATTTCATTTATTCAGTTTATTTAATTCATTTACAACTTGGCTGCATTCAACAGCAATTTAAATTTCTTCAGTACTTCTCAAGAACATTATTACATTTCAGTGGGATTTAGGGTAGAGGTGAAAGTGAAAACCACATTGGGGGAAGCAAGAGATACCAAAAGCTTGGAAGCTGAAAACTCAAAGAGAATAGTCTTAAAGAGGCGAGTAAGGTCGGGGAGGAATGTGTCAAAGCAGAATGATTTACTAAAAGTGTTCCAAAAAGCAGATGGACAAAGACAGTCAGATATGTGTGTGTGTGTATGTGAGTGTGTGGACATCTGCTGATGACTGTTGAAGCTAATATTGAGGAGTTTGAAGGTTAGAATGGTTTCAAAGCAACTGCAATAACTGCTATGGATAGGCATGATCAAAGTTAGGGATTTGGTGTAGTTGAGACAGCAGGTTGCAATGTGCTGAATCAACTGTTAATTAAAGGGTGGTGTGGGGTTAAATAAAATCAATGAGAAATGGACCCTCTATCACAATGGCATGGAAAAATGTATTGACAATATAATGGCGAGACAAGAGATAATGCGTGTGACATTTCAGAAAGATGGGAAGGCGGAAGTTAAGCACAAAGTCTGTGATATTCACCAAAGCGTCGCAACTGTGGAGGAATTTTGAGTTTACAGGGAATTTGGAGGCATACTGGGAGCCAGACAGGATTGTTTTTTCGTTTTGATAACATACAGCTGCAAGCTATAATTTTCATCTGTTGTCAGAGCAGCAACCGTCAAGTGTAGCTTAAGGAAGACAGGGAGAAAAATTAAAGAAATATCTATTACATGCATACATTTGAAAAGACAGATACCATGCAAAATAACTGCTTGTATAAACTGTTCCGTGAGAATCAAGAATACCATTGGGTAAAATACAATCATCTTAATCCATTTATCAGTTATACTTTGTGATCGTTGTTGTCTTACAAGCGCCAGAATATGATGACACGCTGAGGCAATTTTTGTAGAATCTGTTAGTATATGCAAATCTCTAATTAAGTCGATATATTTCAATAAAAACCAATAAAACCGCGGATGCTGTAAATCAGAAACAAAAACAGAAATTGTTGGAAAAGCTTAGCGGGTCTGGCGGCATCTGTGGAGAGAAATCAGAGTCAACGCTTCGGGTCCGGTGACCCTTCCTCAGAACGTTAACTCTGATTTCTCACCATAGATGCTGCCAGACCTGCTGAGCCTTTCCAGCAATTTCTGATATACTTCAATAATTCACGTTATCTTCGATGACAGGCCTTGACTTGCTATTTGTTTTAAATCCGTTACGCTTTCCTCTGAACCTGTTGCACTCTTGCCTGGACGATCATTACACACAACCCTCAGCAAGTACCTGAGACTGCTTAAGTGAGTGCTATTCCCCATTCTTGCCTTTCTACAGTATAGTCATACGTACATTCTAAAAAGTATCGAGATGTTTTAGTTTATCAGGGATAGGAAGAAAAATAACAGATAAGAAAAGCTATTAACTCTGCCGCTGCTGGAAATATATATCTGATTGCAGGCTGCAAATCAGAAAGTGAGACAAACACGAGAAACCTAACAAACAGAGGCAATTGGATTAATCAGATACTGTGCAGTGAAAGTGCCCTGGGACATCCCAGTGCCTGATTAATTAAACATCAACCGGCAAATAGAACGATGCCAGTAATCTCGTTGTTTAACTCAAGACAACCCGGAGTAGCTGCAATTTTATTTTGAAGCTCGTGAGACAAACTGCTCGACTTTTGTATAAATATGCAATGAGCACCTCAAGCCAACACAAAGACTGCCGATCCTGAAACAGCCGCAATCCTGATCCCAAGTCGGCCGCTTGAATCCTAGCGGAGCTGGGCAAACAGCAACACATCGTTCTGGTGAAAGTGTGCAGGAATCGTAAGGGAGCAACTTTGAATGAGCGGGCGAGAAGGAGGGAAAAGAACAGCCGCTGATTTCAAGGAATGGCTCTGATGCTTTGTGTTTGGCAGCGGGTCTGTCCTGATCCGAAATAAGATCCGTCATTTACAATGTGTTGGAAACGCTGCTCCCTACTTCGGGGGAGTGGGGAAGGGTGGAAAAAGTGAGATTTATATCATTTGCAAATACTAAACGTAGATGGAACTGCACGTCCCATTAACTTCTCCGTCCTAATCCTTTTATAAAAATAAACCCGCTGCTGTTGCAGCCCGGTCACGTCCCAGCAAGGGGGCTTGTGGAGCATGCGTAGTGCTGGAGTTGGGAAGCCCGGGGAGCTGTCCAAGTGCTGAAATGTGCCGGCGGTGCGAGCGCTCTCCTTCCTGCATTGGCCGCTGAAGCCAGCGTACCCTCCCCTTCTCCCTCGCCCTCTCCAGCAGCCAGGCCGATGCTGCTGCTTCCCGGCACGAAAGCCGGCGCTCGCCCGTCCACCGTACCATGAAGTTTGAGTCCTCCCGTTCCCTGACGTCGTGCTTCCAGAGGTGCTTTGGGAAAAGATGCCATTCTGACGCTCTTGACTCCTCGCGGCAGCAGCAGCTCCCTCTCCAAGTCTTCCTATTAGACAATGATATTGTGGACTGATGTCCTGCATTGTTCTCTCTCCGCCTGCATCAACCCAGTCCTACTTTCCGCCAATTGGATCTGAGTTTCCGACACGGTTAACCGATTCTTTATCTTTTTGTTTTGGAAGAGGAGGAGGAGGGAGAGTGGGGGTGCGGAGGTACTTTATTTCTAGAACATTGCCCGCGATCCCAGACAGACAGGGAGAGAGGAGTTTGACGGAATGAATCGACCACTTGTGAAAATCCTGACAACGTTGTTCGCTTGCATCTTAGAAACCAGCAACTTCAGGTATGCCTTGACATTTGTTGGGGGGTAACAGTGCACCCGGGTTGTCTTTGCAATTCTTTTATGCAGGCTATTAGCATAAGCAGGTCGACGGCTGGAACAATGGGGGAATTGCTCAGCACCTTTCACTTCCACTGTATCTTGGTCTTCTGAGCGTTGCATTGTAGTGGCGGAGCAAGCCCCGAGCCTATGAGAGAGGTTGTTGTGACGGATCGAACCCTGTTATTGCAAACGCACTAGTAGTTGATGCCTTAAACGTGAGGACACTCCAACGTAAAGCTCCCTTCCACCCCCGCCCCCAGAAAATTTGCTGCCCTTTCTGTAAGCGCAGGATAAAAACTATCTTTTATTTTCAATCGCCAACGCACGGAGATTATTGTGGTGGTGGCGGAAGTTGTTGAAATTCTGTCTCATGTGGAGCTGTGTGAAGCCTTGGTGCTTTTAGATGACAGTAAATCATTGGCAACGCAACCTTGAAACTGCTTTTATTTTCTTGGTTTCTAATGCGTGAGATTGGCTTAACCTGTTAAGAGGATACAATACGTCTAAATTACAGACGCCAACGAATCTAGCACATTTCTTAACAATGAATCAAGAGTGCTCGTCTTAAGTTTTTATTTACGTATTTTGGGCGGGTAGGGGCGGTTTGATGGTCGTGCTCTAGCCGTGGACTACTTTTTAACGCATTCCTGTTGCATCTAAGAGCTTTGGGAACATGGCTTTCAGCGAAATGAAACGTGTTTAGATTGCAATTTTTTTTGATATATATTATTCCCTTAAAGCATTTTGTAAAGTATGGTGATTGCATAAAAGAAGTGTGTAGTTATAAAGAGACTCAGAATGGCCTCCGATTAGTGGCACTTTTTAAGGATAAATTCACCCAAATCTAAATTTTGAGAGAACCCACAATACTTCCATCCAGTCTGACTGCCCTAGTCTTTCCTGTACAATCCAGCAGTAAGTCTTTACACTTGAAGTAAATTGTCAGCGCAGATCTTCCTAACGCCGGGTTGTATTTTCTTCAGGTCAGCTCACTCCAAGGAGCATGACTCTAGGTCTTCAATCAAACCGGCCTCGCAGGCCATGTCCCCCTCAGATTTTCTGGACAAATTGATGGGAAAGACATCAGGATACGATGCCAGAATCAGACCAAATTTTAAAGGTAAAAAGGAGTGATAAGGCCAATATCAATGCAGCAAGATTAGGAGTCGGAACATTTTTCTATGTAGGTCGGTTCTGGGAACTCAGGTGCATTCTGCGTCTAGCGAGGAATTGTGCGAATGAGTGTTTAACATTAGTATTGCCTGACAGACTTTGTCAAAACCAAACTTCTCTTGAAGTGGCCAACTTCAATGGCATGTGCACAGAGGCTGCAGGATGTGTAAAGGGGAATAGAGGGCAGTGCCCGATTATCAAGCATCTGAATGCAATTTCCGTTTGCTGGATGTTGCCATCATTAGAATACCCTGAGTCGGGAGCATTGAAGCGAAATCATGAGACATTCCTGTGCAATTTACCGCAGAAATATTGCCATTTTGAGGCCTGTTTGACAGTATTGACAGCAGTTTTCCGTTCATAACGCAGCAAGTTGATATTTTTATTCCGAGTTATATAATCCAGGGTAAACCTAAAGTAGGTTTATGTCCAGTCTCCGTATTCTTTTGTTCCCAGGACTGAAAGCAAATATTAAATACGTTTGGATGAAGAGCGGCATTTTGCAAGGTGAATTGTGATTTGCAGGCGAGTCGTTTATAATGTGGATAGTGTGATATACACGTGAACGCTTCCCGATAGTGTTCCACCTGATGAACATTGATGTGCTCTGGAATACTAATACACAGTCAACAGTGCTCAATGAGTACTGCAAGTCTGTTCCTTCAGTCTGTCCTATCAGAGTGTCGTGTTAATCCATGAATCGATATCTGGTCAGACTACTGATAGCCAAAGAGTTTATTACCTCTGGGAAGACATTGAGGTAATTAAATTTGGATCCAGAGAATTCAATAATGACTTGTTGGTGTAAAAGCGATCTTAAACATTGTATTCTCCATTAGTCCTCCCCATTACATACGTACCAACAATAGGAAACCAAACACAGAAGCCACGCTATTTAACATTTTCGGGATAAAGCTTTTCATAGATCTTTAGGAGAGGTGCTGTTTTACACTACCGTTTGCGCAGATGTGATTTTTGAGTATGTCAGGTACATTTGCACATATCTTGTAATAACCTGACATTGTTCATTCTCCGATATCAGTAATGGTTGTGGTGGAAGGAGGGATGGGCCACAACATATGAGAAATGATGCCTGACCGTGTGTGGGATGGGGTATGTGACAAAGTAATACTGAAATGAGACATGCGACATCAGTTTTCAGTGTTTTCTTGCAGAAGAGTAGGGCTTGAGATCAGAGATTAACATCTTAATAAAGACTATAATGAATTATGGCACTTCCAATGAAGGAAGAAGCTGAAAGGTAGCTATAATCTCTGGTTGTGCTGGAGTGTGCATTTATGATCACGTATGTATATTAGTTTATGTTCAAGGTTAATAGTCAAAGAACATTAATATTCTTTTATTTCACTGCTTTCTATCTTTCAAGATATGCTATTTGATAATATTACATTCCTGATTTATATTTTGAGTTCTGTGGTTTGGTTAATTGTTATATTGTTTCTCCAGTATCTTCAAGGAAAGCAATATTATTCCAACATTATTTCAACCTCTTTGTAAAAGACACAGTGTAGATACTGGGTGGGGGAGAAAGCCTTGATTTAAACTTAGAAGCATTTTCAAGTTCTTTTGTTTTCGTGTTAATTTCCACCATTAAATAGATGCACATAATCTTCTTCAATAATTAATTGTTATTTCTATGAGGTTAGCCAAGTTAAAGATATATCTCTGTAAGTATACAAAAAAAGGCTGCACTTATAATCATGTAAATTCATTATTCATTGATATGAGAAAGGGAGAAATTGGAAATTTGAGTACTTTTGGAATTTATGATTGGAATGAAAAATCCTGCCTGAGAAGAGGTTCCACTTGGTCCTGAATATCATCTAATAATTACAATGTGATGAGGATTTAGAACTATTCAACATATGATGAGGTCAACTTATTCCATTGCCATTTGTAGAAATGTATTCTATATCTTATAATTTAGAAAATACAGGTATTTCTGGTTTCTAAACATTGTAAATAATTTTATTAATCATTACCGCAGATACAGAATACCAAAAACGTGTAAAAACTCCTGACCAATGCAAATTAAACACATTTTTATGATTTCATTAGATGTTGAAGAACATTGATTAAACACCCTATGATTACATCAGCACTTAATATATTTGAAGTTTTGATATCTAATAATTCTAGATAGCTAATAGAATTCAAAACAAACCATTACATTTTTTAAATAGGCATGTTGGTAATTCATTACAAGAGTCAATGTGTAACTTTGACCTAAGTAGTTCCAAATTATTACGCAGTCATATTTTGTTAGTTTGTTGAAAAAAATAATTTAATTGTAATTATGCTACGATGCTTTCCAATTTTTTTTAATCTTTTCTGAATGCTATTATTTTGTACTTTTATTATTTTAAGATCTGTTAGGAAACATGCTACTTTCAGTATTGAATTTAGTATGATGGCATGATCAAGTGCCAAGACAATTGACGTTCAGACACATAATAAATCTACAAACTGCTGAAAATAACCGACAACCATAATAGCTGACATCTCTTAAGTATGAAATTTTCTTCACTTGTCAAATGATTTCTGTTCTTGCCAAAGTACCCTCATCTGTGCATTGTCCAAATGACAACTCACTAAACATGTAAATAAACTTCGAAATTATTTTGCATTCAGATTAAATAGACCGGCAGGTTTCAAAGGTAGGATGTTTCCCAGACATAGCAAAGAAAATCAGCTAGCAAGAACAGTTGCAGGTATGAAGTATTTCATTTCTTCATTTTAAACCTTCTATCAAAAGACAAAAGTGAAATAATCTGCTATGTTAAGAAGCAGAATACAGTGGTTCTTCAACAAAAGCAAATAGAGTCCATATACTGTGATTTACTTTAGACCATAAGATATATGAACAGAACTAGGCCATTCAGCCCATCGAGTCTGCTCTGCCACTCAATGAGATCATGTCTGATCTGATAATCTTCGACTTCACCTTCCTGCATTTTCCCTTGCTGATTGACATCCCATCTATCTCAGCCTTGACTGTACTAAGTGACACAGCCTTTTTAGCCCTCACTACCCTCTGAGAGAAGAAATTATTCCTCATCTGTCTCATTCTGAGATTATGCCGTCTGGTCCTTGGCTCACTCACAAGGGGAAATAACCTTTCCACATCCATGCTTCAAGTTCCCTAAGAAACTTATGTGTTTCAATATGATTATCTCTTCTTTTTATAAATTCCAACAATTATAGTCCCAACCTATTTCAACCTCATAAAACAGTCCTTCATTCCCATGATCAGCCTAGTGAACCTTCTTTGGACTGCCTCCAATGCCTGTACATACTTCCTTAGAAAAGGAGCCCAAAACTGTTCAGTGTTTCAGCTCTGTGGCCTGGCTAGTGCTTTGTACAGTTTTAGCAAAACCTCACAATGTTTATATTCCATTTCCTTTTAAATAAAGAACAACATTCAATTTGGTTTCCCTATTATCCAGTGAAATTGGATGGTAGCTTTTTATGATTCACAAATGAGCACTCCCAAATAATGTTTGTTCAACAGTTTTCGGCAGTATTTCTCCGTTTAAATAATATTGACCTCCACTGTTCATCTGTCCAAAGAGTATTATCTCACGTTTTCACACATTATATTCCATCTGTCAAGCTTTTGTTCATTTGCTTAACCTGTGCATATCCTGACGGAACCCTTTGTGTCATCTTCATCATAGGTACCTTCCCATCTATTCTTGTGTTTTAAAGGGGAAGATTTTTAGACCTATTCTTCTGGAAATGGTTGCTGACATTTTCTGTGATTGTTTTGCAATTACTTTTCACATATTTCTAAATTTGAAATGATTTGTATAACAGTTTTATGGCCCTTAATTCCAGCATTGTTACTGGATAATTAATGTTATGTTGGGACCAAAAAACTTAAAGAAGAAATTGTCAGAACATGAAATTCCAAATGAGATAAAATGATATTCAATAGACCACAAACAAAATTGTATCCATGGAATAAAAGGAACAGCAGTAATATCGATACAAAATTGGCTGAGTGGCTGAGGAAACTGAATAGTGGTAAACATATCTTTTTCAACCAGGATGAATTATTACAGTGGGGATTCCCCAGGGATTGTTGTTCAGATCCAGCCCTTTTTGATTTTTCTTAATAACTTAGACCTTGGTTCGTACAGCATAATTTCAAAATTTGTGAATGGCTCAAATCTTGGAATTCTTATTTGCTGTGAAGAGGGTTGTGTTAGAATTGAAAAAGGACATAGGTTGGTAGAATGGATGGAGAAATGGTAAATGAAATTTAAAGTAGATCGATCTTTTTATAAGTAGATTAAAGTAATCTTTGATCATTGTCATCCTTTTATCAGAAGTTCCCAATATTTCATCTTTTACAGCTCATCCTACATATTATATTTACTATATGGGGGCCTGTAGATTACTATGACTAGTGACTTATTTCCCCATTCATCATTTCCACCCAAACTGTTTCTACATCTTGATTTCCTGAACTAAAGTCATCTCTAACTGTTGCATCAACAATATCTTTGAATTTGAGTTCCACTCCTCCATTTTTGCCTAGTTTTCTAATCTTCTTGAATTTTTCATATACCTCAATACTCAGAACGCAATCCTGTCATCCTGCAGCTACATCTCTGTAGCAGTATCGGCTGATATGAATTCAGTTCAGTGTGCACAACTAATGCATTTGCTTTAGTATGAATGCTTGTGCATTCATTCAGATACAGAGCCCTTAGTTTCAATTTTCAGTGTTATCTTTGAAGCATTGATTTCTTGGGAAGGAAAAGAGAGAAAAATCTTGCCACTCTCCGACCTATATTTTTCATTTGTATTTTGCTTTCCTGCCATGATTTTAACAGTTGATTTGTTATATTTACCAAAGCTTGATCCATCATACCTCTTGTTGAAATTAAGGAGCTCTCTACCTCCTGAGTTCTATGTTCC